GAGGTAGTGTGTTTGTTTTTTGTATTGTCGAATCACCTCTCAACAAAAGTTTGCTCCAGGCACAGTCAGGCCATTGTATGCTAATACAGTTGAAACATTCGCACCTAGCTCCAGCAGACAAGAGTCCTTTGTCCCACCCTGGTCATTCCACAGATATATAAACCCATTTTCCTATTTTCAACAGACCTCACTACCTCTGAGGATGCTTGCCATAGTTGCAGGCGAAACGTCAGGAGAGAATGCCTCCAGAACATGGCCATATAGCCCGGAAAAACTTACAACAACCCATAATAATACTTTATTTATACCCCGCCACCATCTCCCCAAGGGATGCCATCAGATGGAAACCAAGTCTATATATATACACACACACACACACACACACACACATAATATATACCACCTCTGAGGATGCTTGCCATACTTGCAGACGAAACGTCAGGAGAGAATGCTGCTAGAACATGGCTATATAGCCCGAAAAGCCTACAACAACCCACTTATAGATATAGATATATACATTCTCTCTTGCTCTGCCAATATTCCGAAATCCGAATATAATAATATAATATAATATATATATATGCACACTATATATATGTATACATATTATAATATATACACATATAGTCTACACACATACATACTCTACATATAAATACACATACAGACATACATGCATTATATATATGCACACTATATATATGTATAGACATAATATACATAAAATATAATAATCCTCAGACTTGGGTCCCATTAATATATATAATTAATGGGATATATATATATATATATATATATAGAGAGAGAGAGAGAGAGAGAGAGAGAGAGAGAAACCCATCAATTATATATATTAATGGGACCCAAGCCTGAGCATTATTTTCTTTTATGTATGTCCATACATACATACATACATACATACATACATACATACATACATATATATATAGTGTGCATATATATATAATGCATGTATGTCTGTATGTGTATTTATATATAGAGTATGCATGTGTGTGTATATATATGTGTGTGTATATTATAATATGTATCCTCATGTATGTGTGTGTGTATATAATGCATGTATGTGTATTTATATATAGAGTATGTATGTGTGTGTATATATAATGCATGTATATATATGTGTGTGTATAGACTATATGTGTATATATTATATGTATACACATGTATGTGTGTATATATATATACTGCATGTATGTGTAATTATATATAGAGTAAGTGTACATATAATATGTATATATATAATATATTTATTTATTTATATACGCTTTTCTCAGCCCTCAGGCGACTCATATACATACATACATACATACATATATATATATATATATATATATATATATGCCCTCAGGCGACTCATATACATACATATATATCGTATAATATATATAATGTATGCATATCCATATATAGACTATATGTCTATACATATATATCATAATACGCATATTCATATATAATATATGTATGTATATTTTTATATATAGATTATATAGTATAATATTTATATTCCTATATATGAGGTGCGTGCGTATAGTATAGATATAAATAATGCATGTATGTGTGTGTGTATATATATATGTGTGTCTGTGTGTGTATATATATAGGATCCAAGTCTAAATATTATTTTAGTATGTATATTTATATATATATAGATTATATAGTATAATATTTATATTCCTATATATGAGGGGTGTGTGTATAGTATAGATATATATAATGCATGTATGTGTGTGTGTATATATATATGTGTGTCTGTGTGTGTATATATATAGGATCCAAGTCTAAATATTATTTTAGTATGTATATTTATATATATATAGATTATATAGTATAATATTTATATTCCTATATATGAGGGGTGTGTGTATAGTATAGATATATATAATGCATGTATGTGTGTGTGTATATATATATGTGTGTCTGTGTGTGTATATATATAGGATCCAAGTCTAAATATTATTTTAGTATGTATATTTATATATATATAGATTATATAGTATAATATTTATATTCCTATATATGAGGGGTGTGTGTATAGTATAGATATATATAATGCATGTATGTGTGTGTGTATATATATATGTGTGTCTGTGTGTGTATATATATAGGATCCAAGTCTAAATATTTTAGTATGTATATTTATATATATAGATTATATATTATAATATTTATATTCCTATATATGAGGTGCGTGCGTATAGTATAGATATAAATAATGCATGTATGTGTGTGTGTATATATATATATATATGTGTCTGTGTGTGTATATATATAGGATCCAAGTCTAAATATTATTTTATTTCCGGATTTCGGGAATATATATATATATATATACACAGGATAATATATAATATGATCAATATATTATATCAGTTATATCAAATTATATCAATACTATAATCAATAATATAATATGTGTGTGTGATTCAGAATTTCAAAAAATGATTTCGGGAAATGCATATATATGCATATATATGTCTAT